AGCCTTCTCCAGATCTGACTTTCCTCGTGGGAAGAGAAAGTTATTGATGAAGGAACCGATTTCCTGAAGTTCCTTCCTCAACACTCCGGTCCCACAGCATTCAGTGTCCTTTCCTTTAATGACTGCTAGGCTGAAATCTGGTTGCCGTTGCAACAATAGAGCAGGGAAAATGTGTTCAAAAGAAAGTTTTCTTTAGTAAAATAAAAAGGAACGAGAACTAGCTTGGCATCAAAAAAATATAGGATGCTTTTTGTTCTCTAAACAGCCCACGACAGGCAAATGGGTAGAAGGAAACACCTCCCTTATTTGAGATATTTCAGTTTTCCTATCTGTATCCGAGGTGGGTTTTCCTGAGTTGAGAGTTTTCCACCTTCTGTGAAGGAGTCAATGCTTTTGATGCTTTACATCCGGACTTTATTGAATTGGAGACTTGGAGCAAAAGCAGACAAAGGACTACAGGAAAGCAGGAAGGGTGGTTCTGAGAACAGGAGATCAAACAAAACCTTAAAATCCCAGCCATTATCTTTAGACTTTTAAACTACGTGGAGGTGAGGCTGCTTTCAAATCTGGGGAGAATCGAACGTGGACAGAAACGATGCAATGCCCTTTTTTTCATGCAAGAGATAAAACTGCGAATCAATTGGCAGACAAAATGATCAGAGAGACTAGTCTGATTTTTTTATTTTTAAAGAGGGCTGTTTCCAGTTTGGCTTTGCAGATATCTTTGACCCTGAACTGGGCAACACAAAATGGGTTATCCATAGATTTCTGCAAAGGTTTACGTTAAAATCCACGGGAATCCTAACAGTATGCAGAAAGTGTACGGGACGTCTGAAGTCAGAGGGAGGGTTGCTTTACCAGGGCCTGGTTGTCCGTTGTGCATTCTTTAAGAAGCAATAATGCCAGGTTTTTTTTTGGGGGGGTGCAGTGAACTAGCGCAGAGGTCCCCAACCTTTTGGGCACCAGGGACCAGTTCCGTGGAGAAAGGTTTTTCCGTGGACTGGAGACTGAATGGTTTTGTGTGCTGCCTGCATCCCACGAATGGGGCTTTGCTTGTTTGTGTGGATCAGTTGCTGGCATGCCGCGGCCCAGTACCGGTCCATGGACTGGGGATTGGGGACCCCTGGACTAGTGGTTAAGATGCTGGGCTTGTTGATTTGAAGGTTGGCAGTTTGAGACTCAAGTAATATGTGATGGGGCAAGCTTCCATTCTGGCTCCAGCTCCTGGCAACCTAGCAGTTCAAAAGCATGCAAATACAAGTAGATAAATAGGTACCAGTTCAATGGGAAGGTAGCACCATTCTATAGCCTCGGCGTATAATCATGCCTGCCACATGACCACAGAAGTGTCTTCAGACAATGCTGGCTACCTTGTCTGGTTTGGAAGCATCACTGCTTCAGACAGGAAGGCGGTGCAGAAAGTGTTGAGGATGGCCAAAAAGATCATTGGCAGTTCCCTCCCATCCAGGACATGGCATATAAGCGTTACTTGAGCAAGGTCCGCAAGATTGTCTGGGACGCTACACATCCTCTTCACGACCTGTTTTCCTTGTTATCTTCTGGGAGGAGGGGGCTCCGTGGTATCCGTAGCAGAACATCCAGATTCAGCCACAGTTTCATTCCATACAGCATTAACCTTGTGAACTCTCAAGCTTCCTCCTTCCGTTATATATTCAAGTTGGACAGTATTTAATATTTATTTGTTACGTATATGTAGGAGTGTGGGTCTATACATGTGTTGTACATAGTATGTTTAGGTGTGTGTCATGTATGTGTTTCACTTTGAGAGCGGGCAACTAAATTTCATTTTTGATGTGTGCCGTTGTGCCCACAGTAAAAAAATGACAATAAAGGTCATCTTATCTTATCTAGGAAATAGAGATGAGTACTACCCTGTAGAGTGGGACATGAATGGACAGGGGAAACCTTTACATTTTTTAAAAAAAAATGCCAGTTTTGCCCTTCACAACTGGCTAAAGTTCAAACACACCCATAGTTGTGTTCACTCAACATACTGAAATGGATTAGGTTTAGCAGAATCCATTTGCCCCAAATATAGCATTTGGCTAGGTGGTTTTGTGGCCAAGCATGTTGTGTGAGGGCTCGGCTGATATGGCTGGCTTATTATCCAGTGCCTTGTGAAAACAGATTTGTTCAGAAACCAGCTTAGGTTATGATCATGTAATGAATGCAGACAGGTAGATGGGAAGGAAAGCAAGCAAAGAGAGTGCTTATTATAAAGATAAATATCTGAAGTGTTTTGATTTCTATGAGCTACTTCCTCAGAATGTGTGGTTCAGAAAATTCCATGCTAGGATGACACATCTCCAGATGGATAATTTAAAAACTTTTAAACACTGATTTATGTTCCCGCCTGATGTTTCACAACAACATGTCTTTCACAAAACCCTTGTGTGATATGCCCCAGATCTTCGAAAGCTGTTCCTAAGAAGTTATTTTTTTGTTTGATGAAAGAAGAAAGTGATTAAATACCTGGCTGGAGAATTCTCACCTTAATGATATTTAATTTTAACAAATTAAATGCAACCCAAGTCAATCTTTAATTTTGTCTGCTTCCAACCACTACTTTGATAGAGTATGATTGCTGGAAAACCACTCCAAGACTAAATTTGGTCTTCAGTCTGGGGAAAGGAAGGCATCCCTCTGACTTATCTTCTCAGATTCTCCCAATGCAAAAGCTTTTGCATGCATTTTTTTTTAAAAAATTAGTAGCTACTGGCCAATCCCTTGAGAATTCTGCAAGGGATTGGTGAAATCCAGTAGAAAGGGTTTTGGTTTTTTTTGCACCATCAGAAGGTTTAAAAGAGTAGAGTAGAGTAGAGTAGAGTAGAGTAGAGTAGAGTAGAGTAGAGTAGAGTAGAGTAGAGTAGAGTAGAGTAGAGCTGGAAGGGACCTCAGAGGTCTTCTAGTCCAGCCCCCTGTTCAAGCAGGAGAACCTATACCATCTCAGACAGGTGATTGCCCTCATTTTCCCCCCCTCTCCTTCTGATTCAGTTCTTTCAGCGAAAGCCTTTAAGAAGTAAAAATGCTTCCTTCCCCCCTCCTTTTTTTCCCCATTCACCTCTTTATTTAGTTGTTTCAGAGGTGATCTTAATAAGCAGGAGCCACGCATGAAGAATCTAAATTGGAAAGGTTTTGTGTAAAAAAAATACTTAATAACCCATCATGGATAAATTTTCTCTTATTTTAAGAAAAAACCCCAGATCAAGCTATACTAGGCCTTGAGTGATGCAGATTTTGCATGACCTGCAGAATATTGAAAAATCTCTCCAGGCTACTTCATTGTTATTGTTTTGTATGTCATGAATTGCATGTTATTTATTCCATTCAACATTTAATCTGACTACTGATACGATGTAAGATTTGATGCAAGTCTCAGCCTTAGCCGAAGGCTTGAATCGTAAACACGATTGGCCTTCAAGGACCAGGAAACAAAAACAAAACTAGAGGCATAATTTAAAGAGCCTTAGGTCATATTCAGGAGAAATGCAAACATACCATCTCTCTCCAGCTATTTCTTGTGCATATCCAGAGTTGCTCATAGATGTGGTTGGATTATTTAATGCAGGATGCCGCTCTGATGGCATCACTTCTAAATAAACTCATTTTTGCTGTGGGTATCTTTGCCATCAAACACGGCAATTCCTTTAAAGTTAACGGCTGTGGTCATAAACATGGCATCACCGTTTCTGAAGGAGAAAAACACACCTACCCCAAACTTACCTCAAACCACCCGTGGTTGTGTCCTTATCTCGGATCATGTCAAATCAGCAAAAGCATTTTGTGTAAACAAGGTCCAGCACATGAGGTATCCAGGAACCGCTTGCTACACATCCAACATTCTTGCAGGCGTGTAACATTCTTAGCAGGTCTGGGCAGATAGCTAAGATAACACGTGGTGCCTGAAAGCTGAGGTTAGCATAAAAGAAATCCTTGCAGCTTCCAGGTGGATGTTCTATAATCCACTTTTCTGGATCAGCGTGGCGGGTGTTTGAGCAAAGAGAACAGCTTGTTTGAAATATTTTTTTGAACTTTTGGCATCATTCTTCCTGACAAACAAAATCCACTTTGTTAGCCTGCAAAGTCACAAAGCTTTGGACTTTGGAATAGATGTAGAGATCGTCCTTGATTTATAACTATTCATTTGGTGGCCATTCAAAGTTACAATGGCACTGGAGGGAAAAAGGGAATTGTGACGGTTTTTCACTCTTAGGACCGTTGCAGCATCTCCATGGTCAAGTGACCAAAATGAAAATGCTTGGCAACTGACTCGTACTTATGACAGTTGAAGCAAATCCCAGAGTCACGTGATCCCCTTTTGCAACCGTCTGACAAGCAAAGTCAAAGGGGAATCCAGGTTCACTTATCAACCGTGTTACTAACTTAACAACCTCAGTGATTCACTTAACAACTGTGGCAAGAAAAGTCGTAAAATGGGGCAAAACTCATTTAACAACTGTCTTGCTTAGCAACCGAAATTTTGGGCTCAACTGTGGTTGTAAATCGAGCACTACCTGTATAGAGAGAGATAGAATCAAATATTTGTATGGTAAAATGTGGTAAGACTCTGATTAGGTCTTCATGATCTAGGCCAGGGGTAGGCAACCTTGGCTCTTTTATGACTCGTGGACTTCACCTCCCAGAATTTCTGAGCCAGCTATGTGGCTCAGGAATTCTGGGAGTTGAAGTCCACGAGTCATAAAAGAGCCAAGGTTGCCTACCCCAGACCTAGGCATAAAACTTGGTGGTTTTTTTGGTATGGGTATGGCTGTGTGTTTGGGAAATGTATTCAGTTTATTGAAGACAATGGATTTGCCCATCTTTTGCTGCTATGTGTCTTCTTTTTCACAAGACGTCCTGGCCTCTTCCCACCCTTTAGGACAGGTTCCTGGTCGTGCTGATCTATTTCTCTGTGAACCTCCCCCATTACCTTAATCTTTCCCCTTTTGTGACACCTTGGATGTTATCCTTTCCCCTAGGAAAAGCCAGCTACCTTCACACAGGAGAGATAATTGATGGGGTTGATATGCGGGCTGAAGTCGGACTGCTCACCCGAAACATTCTGGTGATGGGCGAGATGGAGGCGAGATGTTACGATTACAATGCTCATCTGTGCTCCTTCTTTGATTTTGATACTTTTGGTGGACACATCAAGGTACGGCTTGTAGGGGGGGTCTTCTCTGAATCAATAGCATAAAATAACACGCCAAAGATGGCAAAATTGACTGATTAAAGACAAGACTTTTGCTAGCTTTGTTTCTTTGGGCCTTTTTGCTTGAAACGGAAAGAAATGAAATTTTAACTTTGGAACTATTTATGACTGCAGCAGTACTGCATGGTATGGTCTATTCTAGTTGAAAGAGACATTCTAGTTCAGTGGTTCTCAACCTTTTTAATGCCGCGACCCCAACCGGTCGTAAGTCGAGGACTAAACTGGTCGTAAGTCAAGGACTAAACCGGTCGTAAGTCGAGGACTACCCAACCGGTCGTAAGTCGAGGACTTTCCCTGCCCGGGAGCGCCGCGCATGTGTGGTTCCGCCCCCTGTGCCGGCCGAGGCGTAGCTGGCAAGCGGCAGAGACGGAGCAGGCCGACCACCAGCTGGCCCAGCTCAAGGGAGGTAAGGCACCCGCCGGAAAAGGGGGAAAAAATGGCGGACAGCCTTGCTTGGCGACCCCCGTGAAATGGTCGATCGACCCCAAATGGGGTCGCGACCCATAGGTTGAGAACCGCTGTTCTAGTTCATGCTTGTGTCTGTAGCAAAGAAAGTTGGAAGTTCCTCTTTTCTATAGCTGTTTTCCTCTTTTCGTCTGCATCCTCCAACTTTGCTTTCCCCCCCCCAATAACACAAAATGCCAGTATCACCATCTTCCAGTCTGGAATCTTTAGATGGCATTGTAGCCCAGCACCTTTGGAGGGTGCCATATCAACTTTCTGAAAATGCTGCAATTAACTTGCATTGGATTATTATTGCAGTCTGGGCTCAATCTTTTCCATTGCTTCCTGTCAGGGAGAATTAAGACCCTGCTTATTTTTTTTTCTCCTTTAAAAAAATTCAGTATTTTAAATGATTTCATTTGTGCTGGATGCTCTTGATCATGTGCAGCGGCTGTGTATTTTTAACCTACCTAAAGATGCAAGTTCAGAAATTTTCATTCCATGTTTTCACTGAGTTATCTCTGTTCTCCAGATTGGACTTGGGTTTAAATCTGTCCACATGGAAGGCGTGGAGTTGAAGCATATGGGCCAGCAGTTGTTGGGACACTACCCAATTCACTTCCACATGGCTCAAGACGTGGATGAGAAGGGAGGCTACCAGCCCCCTACTTATGTGAAAGACATGTCCATCCATCACACCTTCTCTCGTTGTGTCACCGTGCATGGCTCCAACGGTTTGCTGGTAAGATGCTGGGATTTGACTCTCCTATTGCTGCAAACAGGAGATGCTATCAGGTGGAGAGAAATTGACAGGTTTTCTGTCTTTCATCTTATTATGCATCCACTTAAGGGGGTGGAAGATAAAATTTCCCTTGAGATGATCTCAACTGCTGCTAGTTTCATAGACCATCAACATAGTTTTCTTGGTAACAATACTAGAGTAGTTTGACATTTCCTTTTTCCAGGATTTTTTTTTTTAAATGTCCAGTTCAGCCTAAAGGTTGGACCTTTGTTGAATCCTGCTTAATTTTTGAGATTAACCAAACCAGGTTCTAAGAATTTCTACTTGCAAAGTGACTCTAGTGTGGGTAATATTTGGATGAAGGGATGATGATCCCTTTTGCATCCTCAAAACATATGGCTGTCATATCAGCCAGGATGGGACCATTCCCCATTCTTCTTCTAATTCCTCAAGACGCTCCTTAATCCATCACTTGAACTTTGTCTCTTTTGGGGGGTGATTTAATATATTTCCAAACAGAGCTACACACACAACCAGGTAAACATGCTGTAACAGAGATGTGTTGTCTTCTGTGTTTAGAAGAAGTTAACCTCAAGCATCGAAAGCAGCTGGTTAAGTCAGCCCTGTTGGTTAGTTACTTGCTTTCAGTCCTTTGTTAACTGGAAGAGTTTTATTTGGACCTTTGGAGTACTGTATAGTCATTGTTACTGTAGTTGTTTTGAATCGTTTTGGATTGCTGATGTTTTGCTGTTACCCGCTCCATCTCACCGCAGCAAGGTGGATCAGCATATCAATTGCTTAAATAACATAAATTAAATACAAGTTGCAGGTGCCATGTATATGAGTCATAGGCATGAGCCAACCTCAGGATGAAGGCCACAGAGTTACATACACCGAAATGGGAGTGAACTTAGGCAAATTCAGTTGGGTTGACTTGAAGATTAGCTTGCAAGGAACTCCCAGAAGTGCTTTTCAAAAGGCAACTGGACTTTCTTGATTTTTTTTTCCTTGAAAATGTTTTGCTTCTCATCCAAGAAGCTTCAAAAGGAAGCTTTTTCAAGGGAAAAAAAAAACCAAGAAAGTACATTTGCATTTTGAAAAGCACCTTTGAGACAACCATGACCTGGATGATTGTGAATCTCTATAGGCATCTTTGTATACAGAGAACTGCAACTATTTGGGGAAGCATCTATTCTATCAAAAGAACAAGGCTGCTCTCAAACATAAGAATTCATTTTGTATTGGGTCAAAATTATAAGTTCATCTAGGCTAATATTGCTAACATTATTGGCAGCCATATCCAGTTTTTCCAGACATACCTGTACATACCAGGGACCAAATTTTAGAGTGAAACCATTAAATCACAACCCCCCTATTATAACAAAGCTGTACTAGCCTTTTCAGGATCCTGCAGTTGAAACTCAAGTACTTTGGCCACCTAATGAGAAGGAAGGAGTCACTGGAGAAGAGCCTAATGCTGGGAAAGATTGAGGGCAAGAGAAGAAGGGGATGACAGAGAATGAGGTGGCTGGATGGAGTCACTGAAGCAGGAGGCCTGAGCTTCAATGGACTCCAGAAGATGGTAGAGGACAGGAAGGCCTGGAGGAACATTGTCCATGGGGTCGCGGTGGGTCGGACACGACTTCGCAACTAACAACAACAACAACACTAGCCTTTTGGTCTAAATAAGTTCTTAGGAGTTTCTTTCAGCTAGTCTTTAACTGCATGGATTGTCTGCACAGGCAGCAAACGCTGCTAATGGGACAGCTTATCTGGTGTGAAAAAATACCATACATAACTGAAACACACCCCCCCCCCACACACACACACACTTAGGATAGGCAAGTAAATCAGTCTGGGCTGCCTGCCATCTGTACCAGTTAAAATGTAAAATGCTGCTCCGGTTGTACTGTAATTGAGGTTTTAAAGTGCCTTGCATTGCTGCTCTTCTCGTTGCCTTCCTAAAGACCGAGGCTGCAAGGCAAAATCTGACGTCTTAACATCCTGGCCCTGAGTTATGGGGAGCGGTGTTGATATTTATGGCTGCAGGGCCGCACGTTCCGCCAGAAAACATTGATAGGCTGGCTCTCTCTCTATGGGGTGGAAGCGGTCCCTGAGTGTAAAATTTAATGAAGCCTGACCAAGAGGGAAGAGTTTCCAGATGCATTTCGAGACTGACCAACAATGACCGTTATTGCATCTGCTGCTGATAATTCCATTTTTAATTCATGGCTCTGGCTTTAATGGGAGAAAAGGGCCATCCCGTTCCTTTGGCTGATTTTTAGGCATTGCATCGTTTATAAATTCTCTGACTTAAAGCCGTGTCTTCTATCGGGCATATGATGCTCGAAGGATTGAAGGAAGGAATGGGGTGGGGATTAGAAGGGAATTAAAGGCAAGCTATTCTCCAAAGCGCCTGAAGGCAGGACAAGAAGCAATGGATGGAAACTAACCAAAGAGGGAAGCAACCTAGAACTAAGGAGAAACTTCCTGACAGTGAGAACAATGAACCAGTGGAACAACCTGCCTCCAGAAGCTGTGATTGCTCCAACACTGGAAGTTTTTAAGAAGAGACTGGACAGCCATTTGTCCAAAATGGTATAGGGTTACCTGCCTGAGCAGGGGGTTGGACTAGATGACCTCCAAGATCCCTTCCAACTTTTTATTATTATTATTATTATTATTATTATTATTATTATTATTATTATTATTATTATTATTATTATTATTATTATTACTGGCCTAGGGGATTTTATAGGGGTTTTAATTACTTTTAATTGGACACTTTCAAATATTTCGTTTTAATTAAATTTTAATTAGGTGTAATATGTATTTATGTTAGCTTTTTATCATCTGTCAGCCGCCCTGAGTCCGAAAGGAGAAGGGCGGGATATAAATGGAATTAATAATAATAATAATTATTATTATTATTATTATTATTAAAGCTAGTATCCTGATCCAGTTTATAGCTATCATAATCTACTGCATGATGCCTTACATTGGTGAAGGAAAAGCCTCTTTATGTACTTGCTTTCATTCATTTTCTGTCCATTTCATCTGTTTTTGCCCATTCAGATTAAGGACGTGGTTGGGTATGACTCTTTGGGTCATTGTTTCTTCACTGAAGACGGCCCTGAAGTACGTAATACCTTTGATCACTGCCTCGGACTTGTGGTAAAACCAGGCACTTTGCTACCGTCGGACCGGGACACAAGAATGTGCAAGACCATTACTGAAGATGCTTATCCAGGATATGTCCCCAAACCTAGACAGGACTGCAAGTGAGCAAATTTAATTATCTCTGGTTTACACAATGTTGCACGGCTCGCTGAGCATACAAGGAGAACTCATAATCAAATGAAAAGTTTGTTGTTTGACTTGCATGAAAATAGCCACCTGGACGTTTGGTTCCAAAAAGGCATTTTTCCATGAGGAAACATCAGACCAAATCAAAAACTTTTAAATTGTTTGGCTCTCCAGTGGGGAAAATAGAAGCGCACGCTTAATTCATCATTCCGATTAAGAATGCCTAGCCATTATTTCAGACAAAGAATTGGCTTTTCGTTCATTGTTTTCCATATTCTTTTTTAAAAAAAATTTATTAAGTACAAAAGGAAAAAAGAAATTAAAAAACATTGAACGTAGTGTATCATCCTTGACATATATCTTTGTCTAATCATTCAATACTGTACATATATAAGAATAAATATTATATATTTATATGCAGCTATACATTTCTGATAATCTTCCTCTATTTATATCCCTTCTATCGACTTCCCTTTTCATTTTCCTCCAGTGGGAAAATAGAAGTGCACGCTTAATTCGTCATTCCAATTAAGAATGCCTAGCCATTATTTCAGACAAAGAATTAGCTTTTCGTTCATTGTTTTCCATATTCTTTTTTTTTTGAGGGGGTATCATACATGCATGGTTTCTGGGCGTCGATTGAAGTGGATAAAATTCCATGTATACATCATACAATTCTTAAATAAACAACCCACTGGGATCAAGGAAAATAGTTCTTCTACTTATCCTGGATTATTTTTCACAGAAAAATGCCAGAAGGAATTTTTCTGTCTTAGAAAGTAATGGAGAATAACAACCTCTCCCCAGGCCCATTCTTACTTTAATAATGCAGATGGCGCTAACATATATTCCCCTCCTTTCAATTCTGTTCTTTGCTCTCCTGAAATGGATTTTGAAGGACAAGGCTTCAACAGATGGATAGACTGCCTTTCTTGAAGACTAGCAACCTCTCGTTTCGTGCAGAGAAAAAAAAAAGACATTTGGATCGAATAATACATTATTTGCAATGGAATTAGGCAGAAATTAAATAAGTAAATAAAATTTGCCTCCAAAGAAAGCTTGGACAAAAATTGACACGTGTTGCAATATATTATTTATCTTCCCAAGCACAAATCAAGTCAATATTCCAGTCCCGTGTAAAGGAGCAGTGAACATGCCTACTCTGCAAAACAATTCTGTTAATGGAGAATTAAAACCAAGTTGCTTGACAGAAAAAAAATGAACAGTGGAGAGGAAGAGACAGAACCCAGGGTGATGAAAGAAATTAAGCATCTGGAAAATTCTTAAAAATCTAGATATGGCAAAAGGCCAGAAGGGGCAAATGCATTGCCACTTAAGCCCACTAACCTAACTCGTTTGCAGATAGGCACACTCATAAAATAGAAATGACTTTTTTATAGCATCAGAGTTGTCTTGCAACATCACTCAGAATTTGTCCTGAAATTCCAGCAGCTTTTCAAACTTGGGATGAGATCTTTCCTTGCATGGACAATGGTGAAATGGAGAAAACGGGGCACCAGTGGGAGTGGGCTGGGATGGAGAGAGATGCCACAGGTCATTACACCGGTGTTTCTCAATCTTGGCAACTTTAAGGCGTTGTGTTTCTTCAATTCTCAATCTAAAACTTGCCAAGGAGAAACACTGCAGTTCATTAGCACTGATGATGTTACCTAGTTTGGGTAATGAAACATCTGCAACCAAGTTCAGAGAGCATGAAGGACACCTCACTGCATGACACAGTACAGAGAAGAGCAACAAAGATGATTAGGGGACTGGAGGCTAAAGCATATAAGGAACGGTTGCTGGAATTGGGTATGACTAGTTTAACGAAGAGAAGGACGAGGGGGGACATGATAGCAAGTCAAGCTATTCTCCAAAGCACCTGAAAGCAGGACAAGAAGCAACAGGTGGAAACTAACCAAGGAGAGAAGCAATCTAGAACTAAGGAGAAACTTCCTGACAGTTAGAACAATTAACCAGTGGAACAACCTGCCTCCAGAAGCAGTGAACGCTCCAACACTGGAAGTTTTTAAGAAGAAACTGGACAGCCATTTGTCTGAAATGGTATAGGGTTTCCTGCCTGAGCAGGGGACTGGATGACCTCCAAGGTCCCTTCCAACTTTATCATCATCATCATCATCATCATCATCATCATCATCATCATCATCATCATCATCATCATTATTATTATTATTATTATTATTATTATTATTATTATTATTATTATTATTATTATATACACTGTCTGTCACCAAGTTATCTGACCCAGATTGATTCTGATCCCTAAGCATGCATCTCCTCTGCAGACCTGACATTGGGAAAATGTTTGGGTTTTATTTTATTTATTTATTTATTTATTTATTAAATTTATAGGCTGCCCATCTCACTGTCAAGCAACTGTTTTGCTTTCTCATACTTGGTTTTCTTATCCAACAGTGCCGTCTCAACTTTCTGGCTGGCAAACCCACACAACAACCTCATAAACTGCGCAGCGGCAGGATCCGAAGTGAGTAGGATGATTTTCGCTCTCAAGGCAAAAGTTTTCCGATGGGTACAAAAGTGGCTCTGCCATTTGGGCCTGCCTAGCGGGATGTGATTCTTTCATCCAACTTGGGTTGGGAACAAAACCTTGCTAACCTGTCAGCCAATCTGCAAACCATTTGTGTAAAATAACCCTCTTGTTTCCTAAATAACTGCGAGAGACCAGCCCATTCTTAAATTAAAATTGATCGCACTCTAAACACACATAAAAAGTATTATTTTTAGTGTGTGGGAGAATTAGATTTCCTGAAAAGCATTCCTCAAAGAGGTTTCTGTGCACATCACTTTTTTTTTTCAGCACATTTTCCATTTGAGAGTCCAGAGCAGTGATTTATGCATAATTGTAACCAAGAGCTTCCCCAAAGCAGCTGATCTTATTGAATCTTTGTTTGAGATTGAAGGATCCAAGAGAGAGTGGGAGAGTAATAGGCTTCAAAGGAACCCCTTTGATGTTATTTTGATATAACTCTTTTTGCTATTGGAGGACTCCTGTAGGAGAAGCGAGCCTGAAACTGCAATTTGTTAAGTAGCTGATGGGAATTCTCGTGCACAACGATGCCAAGGAGAGAATGGAATAATGTACACAAAGAGGGCGAAATGTCCTTCTCTTGTAGAGGGGATAGAAAGGAAGCAGGTGCAGAATTGTATGTCACACAGAATTGTGGTCTTTGATCCCCTAGGAAGCTTTAATTACTTAGACCATGCAGACTGTCAGACACGAACAACTAGATCAACACATGCTAGTTTTTGTTGTTTTTCTCTCTGTTTTTTGTCGCAGATACCAAGAAAGTTAAACAGTTAGTATGTCCTCCTTTTCCTTTCCAATGGATCTGTGTCCTTCTTTGTCTACCCAGCTTCCAAGCCCAGGGGAGGATTAGAGCACAGCTCTTCCCACTCCTAGTCCAACATCTTAACCATTACTTCTTACTGGCTGTCATATGCGGTCACTTTCTATCTAAAAAAAAAAAAACTTTTAAATGTTTTAACCTGGATGTAATTGTAAGCTGCCCAGAGTTACCGAATGGTAAGATGGGTGGCCAATAAATTTTATATAGATATATAGAGATAGAGATAGATAGATAGATAGATAGATAGATAGATAGATAGATAGAGAAAGAGAGAGAGAGATACACACAGAGAGAGATACAGAGAAATAGAGATAGAGATAGATAGATAGATAGATAGATAGATAGATAGATAGATAGATAGATAGATAGATAGATAGATAGATAGATAGATAGATAGAGACAGAGAGACAGAGAGACAGAGAGACAGAGAGACAGACAGAGACAGAGACAGAGAGACAGAGAGAAAAATAAATTAGATTTTCCTTTTTTACATAATACCTTATGTAACCCAGTTCTGTCTTAGTCTGAAACTGTTGTTTTTCTTTGCAGGAAACAGGATTTTGGTTTGTTTTGCATCACGTACCAACAGGACTTTCTGTCGGAATGTACCCACCTGGCTATTCGGAGCACATTCCAATGGGCTCGTTTTATAATAATCGAGCCCACTCCAATTACCGAGTAAGTCCACCTGCCATGAAAACACACAAAAACTGCATTTTCTTTTCCCCCTTCCAATTTCTGAAATAGAAAAGCTGTTATTGGTCACTGTTCGCGCTCCCGTGAAATCAGTGGCAAACTTTCCTGCTGTCTTTAAACAAAGAAGAAAATGTGCAGATTCTGTTTTTTTACCTTGTGCTCCAAGTAGAGAGATTAAAAAAAAACAATCTCTCAGAGTCATGAATTTGAGATGGGTGATGGAGTGGAGTGGAATGGAATGGAATGGAATGGAATAGAATGGAATAGAATAGAATAGAATAGAATAGAATAGAATAGAATAGAATAGAATTAGAATAGAATAGAAAAGAATAGAATAGAATTAGAATTAGAATAGAATAGAATAGAATAGAATAGAATAGAATAGAATAGAATAGAATAGAATAGAATAGAATAGAATAGAATGAAGAATGAAGAATAGAGAATTAATAGAATAGAATAGAATAGAATAGAATAGAATAGAATAGAATTATAATGTATAGAACGGAGTGGAGTGGAATGGAATGGAATGGAACAGAAGAGAATGCAGAATAGAAATAGAAATAGAAATAGAAATAGAAATAGAAATAGAAATAGAAATAGAAATAGAAATAGAAATAGAAATAAAAATAGAAATAGAAATAGAAATAGAAATAGAAATAGAAATAGAAATAGAATGGAATCATGAAATCTAATGATTTATGAAACTAAAAGGGAGTGCAATCCATTTTGCACCAGATAAGGCATCTTTTTTTTTCCCTGAGGTTGATATTGTAGACCACCCCCCCCCAAAAAAAGATGCATACTTTCCCCAACCTCTAAGAATGTATTAGAGTAGCTATTGCTTACCAGCTGCCTTCCTTCCTTCTCCCCAGGCTGGAATGATAATTGACAACGGAGTTAAAACAACGCCAGCATCAGCCAAAGACAAACGGCCAATCCTGACTCTGATTTCTGGAAGGTAAACTGATTTCGGTGGCCTTTGGTTTGGAGTGATAGTTGTTCATATCCATGGGAAATTTTGCATGGATCTGGACTCTTTTCTGAGTCTGGCAAAGAGGATCTGACCTGCCAAGCTATGAAACTTTATGACCTGGGAACACCTTTCCTACTCTAAGTCTCTGTCTTAAGTTCTCATTCCCTGTAAGTTTTCTAATCATCTTCAAAAATGCCGATTTTCTCTGTCTCTGTCTGTCTCTGTCTCTCTGTCTCTCTCTCTCTCTCATGCATCTCCCGATCCTTGAAGTTCTCTAATGAGAACTAGAAGCTTGACTTGGATGCAGGAACTTGTGACGGGCTGATATCAAAGCAGCCGACCTCAAGGTGTTTCCTCAGAGATCTGGGGTCACTGATCCCCCTTTTTGCCTCTTGCAATTCCAGGTACAGCCCACACAAGGATGCTGACCCTTTGAAGCCCAGAGAGCCGGCTCTAATTCAGCGTTTTATCGCTTACAAGAACCAGGACCACGGAGCATGGTTGAGAGGAGGAGATGTGTGGTTGGACGATTGCCAGTGAGTCTTACCTCTCTTCAGTTTTTGCAGAAGCCGGATTGGATTTAGTCTCCTTTCCCAAAGCCTTTCAACTGGCTGAGATTTAGGTGGAAATGAAAATCAGCAAGGCAACAGGCCCCTCGTTTTTGCAAATTCTGCGAAGCCTGTGTCGGTGCATCGTGTGTGTTTGGTTCTGCACGTCAGATGTGCAGGCACCCTTTTTACAATATGCCGCCGCGAAAGAGTTTTAAACAGACTCTTCTTTCCTTGAAAGCAAAAACATAAGCAGCCGGTCTGGTGCTTTCATTTCATGTGGTCGCAAAGGATTGCTCAGAATTCCAGGCCCAGGGAAGTAGACATAAGACAGTGTTCCTTGGCGAAAGAATGGGTAAACAATGCTCAGCGCGAAAGTCTCGTACAGATGGAAGGCAATTTCCTTATTTTTGCTTTCTGAGAATGCCGGATTAAGCAATTACGTGTTTATTTTTAACATTTATTTACAATTTTCGTAGCCTGCCCCAGTCCACAGGGACTCTGGGCAGGCTCCAGCAAAATCAGATGTCTGGGATTAGGTCTTGAAGATTTTAATTCTCCAGTCCATTAACCAATCCTCATTCCAGGGTTTTCTATGGGAGGGGGGGCTGGTAAAAAAAAAAAAGATGCTGGCATTGAAGCCCCACCCTAGTTTGCTTCCATCAAAAAGGGGGCAGTTTCCGGGTTTGCAGTGGCCATGATGACTTTGGTTGAACCCTTTGCAATCAGATTTATCCAAGATGCAATATGGTCTCCTGCCTTGGGCAGTGGGTGGACTAGAAGACCTCCAAGGTCCCTTCCAGCCCTATGTTTCTGTGACCCCTGCTTTAAGCAGAAACATTCATATTGTTTTTAAGTTTTAACACAGCTCCACTCAAAGCTGACCCTCCAAGATTTCTTGTCTTAGTGAGATTCCACTTGACCTGGAGTCACCCCCAATTTCCAGGTTGCTACTCGCCTGCTGTGGAAGCCAAGGAGTGCAAGCAACTCTGGTGTGGTTATTTGACACAGGAAATTGCCCTCCTCTTCAACAAACAATGGCTGTGCTGACTCCATCCATTCCACCAGGTGTTTGTGGTTACTGTGGCAAATTGGTAGCTTAACCTTCCCCAATCTAATATCTTCCAAATGTGTTAAGTCTGCATTTGTTAGAAGTCCCAACCACTGGCTGGCTGCGTAGTCCTAGCACACCTGGATCAGATCCTGTTGCAGAAATCTGAGCTTGGCAATACAACTCTGCAAAACACGTGACTGTTGTTTTGCTTCTGAGCTTCAGTCTGTTGGTATCTTGAGAACAAAGCCTGCATTTTTTTCCTTCTCCTTCTTCTGGTCCAGGGATCTTCCAACTTGGCCCTTTTATGACTGGTGAACTTCAATTCCCAGAATTCCTCAGCCAGAGGGCAAAACTCACTTAACAAATTTCTCACTTAGCAACATAAATTTTGGGCTCAGTCGTGGTCGTAAGTTGAGGTCTACCTGTACACACAGCCAAGCACTATCTCAGATAAGCAGGGATTAACATGAATATTGGTTAGTAACATTTCTGATTGTAATTGTCCATCAATCTACAGAAATCCAAAGCTAGTTTTAATAGCAATTGCTGAAAAAGAAACTAAATGAAAGCACTTGATGCTGGGAATAGAATAGAATAGAATAGAATAGAATAGAATAGAATAGAATAGAATAGAATAGAATAGAATAGAATAGAATAGAATAGAATAGAATATGACAGATTGTAGAATAGAATAGAATAGAATAGAATAGAATACTATATAGAATAGAATAGAAGGGACCTTGGAGGTCTTCTAGTCCAGCCCCCTGCTCAAGCAGGAGAACCTATACTGTCTCAGACAGGTGACTGTCTAGTCTCTTCTTAAAATCTCCAATGATGGAGCGCCCACGATTTCGGGGGGTAAGCTGTTCCACTGGTTGATTGTCCTCATTGTCAGGAAGTTTCTCCTTAATTCCAGGTTGCTTCTCTCCTTGATCAGTTTCCAACCATTGTTTCTCGTACTTCCCTCTGGTGCTTTGGTGAATAATGTGACCCCCTCTGCCTTGTGGCAGCCCCTCAGATACTGGAGCACTGCTATCATGTCTCCCCTATTTCTTCTTTTCTTTAGACTAGCCAAACCCAAGTCCCGCAGCCGTTCTTCGTATGTTTTAGCCTCCAGGCCTTGGATCATCATTATTTGTTCTTTGAAGGGCGTACTCTTATATTATTTGATCAGGGTCTCTCCCTCCCTTTCTTCCAAAAAGAGTTCACTCTAAAAATACTTCTAGATGGTACAATTACAGGATGACACGTATCTTTCAGTGTAATTCTTATAACGAAAAAGATTCTGGGAATTTGGGGATACTGCTGCCACAGAGAACTAACAAGTCGCCTTAAAATAGGCCTTACTGTTTGTCCATCCTACTCAGTCTTGGCAGTTACATCTGGCAGTAACTTTCCGTGGTTCTTGGAGAGGTTTTTCTCATCACCTGTAGCTGGTGTTTGCTTGTTTGTTTTCAATTGCAAATGCCAAGGATTGGCCTCCAGGCTTTTACACAGGGTGTCCTCTGAGTTGTGTTCCCTCTCCACGCAGCTCTTAATTTTTTATTCATTCTTAGACGTACATCCCACCTTTCTTTTATAGACAGTGCACAGAATAGTGTACCTAATGCTCCTGTGTCCTATTTTCCCCACAAACCCAAGTTTGTGAAAATGGGTTGGCCTGAGAGAGTGACATTAGTCTGACTGGCTTTAATGTCTAAGAAAGCACTAGAACTCAAAATCTCCTGGTTTTTACTTTAGCACCTAACCACAACTCCAAGCCGCCCTGTCTTGATAGTTCCATGAACATTTATAGACATAAATCCTATTAAAACTAGCTTAAATGCATAATACACATTTAGCATTAAAATAGTCCCAAACTTTGCTTATCCTCTTTATCTTGCCTTTGCTTTCAAATCACAAAAGGCAGATTCTCCTTTTTGTTAACCTTTAGATTAGTAACTTCCTTGGAGCAAGGAGCTTTATTTACTCCAGCTTCAAACCACAGTGCAAGATGATGCTGCGTAGTTAATTTTAATTGCTACTGGGCAACCAGTGCCTTGTTGAGTCATTGTTTCAGAGATATTTCTTTAGCTGAATGTTGTTGTTGTTGTTAGTTGCGAAGTCGTGTCCGACCCATCGCGATCCCATGGACAATGTTCCTCCAGGCCTTCCTGTCCTCTACCATCTTCTGGAGTCCATTTAAGCTCAGGCCTACTGCTTCAGTGACTCCATCCAGCCCCTTCATTCTCTGTCGTCCGCTTCTTCTCTTGCCCTCCATCTTTCCCAGCATTAGGCCCTTCTCCAGTGAGTCCTTCCTTCTCATTAGGTGGCCAAAGTACTTGAGTTTCAACTTCAGGATCTGGCCTTCTAAAAAGCAGTCAAGGTTGATCTCCTCTAGGACTGACCGGTTTGATTGCCTTGCATTCCAGGGGACTCGCAGGAGTCTTCTCCAGCACCATAGTTCAAAGGCCTCAAAGGCGGCGAAAAAAATGCTGTGGAAGTAGGAGTGACTTCTGACTTCCTGATGGCTTCCCCATTGAGTTTCCTTGTTGGGAATCTGGCAAGGAGCATCGGGAATCTCCTTCCCTTCCCTTCCCAACAAGCAGGTTAGTGGCTGCTGCCAAGTGAGAGAGAGAGAGAGAGAACAAAGGATTATGAGACTGGCTAAGAAACTGTCATGGAACTTTGATCATGTGACCACAGCATCAGCCCAGCAGCACAGTAGCAGCCAGTAGCATGAAAGCAGCCACAATTTTCTCAAATTTCATTCCCTTGGTAGTCATAGGTCCTGGATGTTAGACACATTCTGTCAATTAGCCCATTTGAGATACCTTGGCTCAAATTGTTGCCCTATGATGCACTGTTTCACCCAGTTAAAAATCATGACAACGAGACTTTTAGTCGAATATAGATTTAATACATATAAATGTGCCACAAGGCAGTGAAGGCTCACCAGAATAGGAAGTATCATATACTTGTTTCTCTTTCTTTTAGCCTTCGGGGTTTCCTTTCACCCAAACACCCCTTGTAATTGTATATTAACAATCAATTTGAATATCTCATCTCTTTTTCTTTTTTTTTCAAATCCCAGAAAGTTTTTTTTTTCCAGCTTGTTAAGTTTTTGGCAGTGTTTATCCAGGCCAAGTTCAAATAAGTTTCCAGGTTTCATAACTTAGGTATTTTTATAGCTGTAGGGATCTAGCTGTTTTTAATATTTGTTACTATACCAGAGCAACACTGTGTATGCTAAAGTATATTGCAATTGACATGATTTTTCATGGAAAGCAAGAGTAATTTGCTTTAGAGGAGGAATATCACTTGCTTGCTCTTTTAATGCAGTGGTTTTAATTTAAGTTAATTTAATAATTTTAGGGGGTTCTCCCATCTTTCTATCCCACAATGTTTTTTTTCCCCCTAAAATTAAATTGAGACCCACTTTCTGGTCTAAAAAATAAGCAGGATTGAACCTGAATAGTACATAGATGGAGACACCGGGAAATCCTGCAGCTAAGTTAGACTGTAACGTGCCTTTTTGGTGTAGTGATTAAGGTGCTGGGCTCAAAACTGCGAGACCATGAATTCTAGTCCCACTTTAGGAAGAAAAACCAGGTGGGTGACATTGAGCCAGTCACTCTTGCTCAGCTCTAGGAAGAAGGCAATGGCTTCTGAAATCTTGCCAAGAAAAGAGTAGAGACTTGTCTAGGCAGTCACCAGGAGTGAACCTTGCCTTGAAGGAAATTTTATTGTACTTCATGCTCTGTAATTGTCACTCAACTTTCTGGGGTGACTTCAGAATAAATAACTTGAGGATCAGAGCCACAGTTTTGCAAGAATATAAAGGACTGGTTATGAAGGTCCAACAGAAAGATTTCATCAAAATGATCTGGGGGTAGGTCAGTGGTTCTCAACCTGTGGGTCGGGACCCCATTTGGGGTCGATTGACCATTTCATGGGGGTCGCCAAGCAAGGCTGTCCACCATTTTTTTTGTCCACCATTTTTTTTGTCCGCCATTTTTTCCCCCTTTTCTGGCGGGTGCCTTACCTCCCTTGGGCTGGGCCAGCTGGTGGTCGCCCTGCTGCGTCTCTGCTGCTTGCCAGCTACGCCTCGGCCGGCGCAGGGGGCGGAACCATGCATGCGCGGCGCTCCTGGGCAGGGAAAGTCCTCGACTTACGACCAGTTGGGTAGTCCTCGACTTACGACCGGTTTAGTCCTCGACTTATGACCGGTTTAGTCCTCGACTTACGACCGGTTGGGGTCACGGCATTAAAAAGGTTGAGAACCACTGGGGTAGGTGAATTGCAAAATCCGGGTGTTATTAAAGGAATATCTTTATTGAGTTCTCTAAGGTTTACAGCTCCTGTTATGTTTAATACTGGTTGAGAAGTGCAGTGAAAGAAATAGTGGTCTTGTTTACACCTTGATGCTTCATAATCTAGCACCATATTGGGAGAACCAGGACTTCTGAATAACACATAGATTCAGATTGTAAACCCTCTTTATAATGAGTTTTCCTTCTGCACCCTTGAATATTCAAATAAGCCTGTTTACTCTAAGATATCATGATTTTTTTTCACTGCAACAATGGGGGAATGTTATTGAGAACCAAGCAAACTGAATAGCCTAACTAATAATGTCATTAAGCACAGACGGGAATCCAGTTTTCCAGATTAACTCAGGAATGCTCTCTCTTTTTTGTAGGTTTGCTGACAACGGCATTGGCCTCACTCTGGCAAGGTAAGCATTCTTGGTTCCTGTTCAGAGTTTTTCACCTCTTGCAGTTACACAAAAGCTGGAGTTGGCCCAAGAAGCCAGGCTGACCAGCCATTTTGATCTCTCCTAGTGGTGGAACTTTCCCGCACGATGACGGATCAAAACAAGAAATTAAAAATAGCCTTTTTGTTGGTGAAAGTGGAAATACAGGGACCGAAACAATGGACAACAACATCTGGGGACCTGGAGGATTAGACCACGGTGGACGGACTTTGCCCATTGGACAGTGAGTTTCTCTCTGGAAATTTTCTTGTTGGGTTCAAGTTTCCAAACCAGTATAGAATTTAATTCTATTCTTTCTTTTTTTCTAAACCTGCCACTGAAGAGACCATAAATGAAAAAAGACATATCCTTGTTCTGCTCTTCTACAATGAACAGCTACTGATAACACACTTGAGATTCCGATATAATAATAATAATAATAATAATAATAATAATAATAATAATAATAATAATAATAATAATAATAATAATAATAATAATAATAATAATAATAATAAAGTTGGAAGGGATCTTGGAGGTCATCTAGTCCAACCCCCTGCTCAGGCAGGAAACCCTATACCATTTCGGACAAATGGCTGTCCAGTCTTCCAGTGTTGGAGCATTCACCACTTCTGGAGGCAGGATGTTCCATTGGTTAATTGTTCTGAATGTCAGGAAATTTCTCCTTAGTTCTAGGTTGCTTCTCTCCTTGCTTAGTTTCCACCCGTTGCTTCTTGTCCTGCCTCCAGGTGCTTTGTAAAATAGCTTGACCCCCTCTTCTTTATGGCAGCCCCTGAGATATTGGAACACTGCTATCATGTCCCCCCTCGTCCTTCTCTTCATTAAACTGGACATACCCAATTCCAGCAACCGTTCCTTATATGCTTTAGCCTCCAGTCCCCTAATCATCTTTGTTGCTCCTCTCTCTACTCTTTCTAGAGTCTCAACATCTTTTTTACCTCAGTGCACTTGTGCTTTTTGGCAATCCCTTAGAACCTAATGCACATCTTTCACCAATGCATTTCAGGAACTTCCCAATCAGAGGCATTCAGTTCTACGATGGGCCAATCAATGTTCAGAATTGCACTTTCCGAAAATTTGCTGCACTAGAAGGCCGACATACCAGTGCTCTGGCTTTCCGCCTGAACAATGCCTGGCAAAGTTGTCCCAACAACAACGTCACAAATTTGTTCTTCGAAGATGTCCCGGTGAGTTTGCCTTCAGGGTAGATTGATGGATTGAAGGATTGTGCCAAGAACAAATCTTGGAGGCAGAGTCGAGTTCCAGCAGAATTTGCAAAGGAAATTCTGCCCCAATGACAGAATTTCCTCTCTGTACGTTTGCCATTGGTGCGTTGAGCTGAGTTTGGATTTAGCTTCAGATAAAGGATCTACAAGTTGGTTTTGGCTATGTTTATAGTGATCTTGTTGTTGATGCCAGCATAATCCCATTTTAGGGATTTATCTTTGTCTTCAACTTATACCTGTTCATCTGGTGACCGTTCAAAGTTAAAATGGCACTGAAAAAAGTGATTTATGACTTGTCCTCACACAAGCATTGCAACATGCCCATGGCCACATGATCAAAATGGCCCTTGGCATCCCAGGGTCACATGATCACACTTTTCAATTAAAATGTCTAAATCAGGGGTAGTCAACCTTGGCTCTTTTATGACTCGTGGACTTCAACTCCCAGAATTCCTGAGCCAGCACAGGTGGCTCAGGAATTCTGGGAGTTGAAATCCATGAGTCATAAAAGAGCCAAGGTTGACTATCCCTGGTCTAAATAAATAAGTGATGAACACCTATTCCATTATTGGGAGAAGAACCATGAACATATATATTCAGAGGTCATCATGTGGGGAGCATGTTGTGTTCCTCCTCAAACGTTTACTAAGCCGTAGGTCTCTGTCCTCACTTGTAGATTTCCTCTAGAGTTTTCTTTGGGGAACCTGGACCTTGGTTCAATGGGTTGGACATGGATGGCGATAAAACATCAGTTTTCCATGATGTCGATGGCTCTGTGTCAGAATATCCTGGATCATACCTTATCAAGGAGGACAATTGGCTCATTAAGCATCGAGACTGCATCGAAGTTCCAGACTGGAGAGGATCCATCTGTAGTGGACGCTACGCACAGGTAGTAGGGATGGTGGTGGGCACAACAGATTTGGAGGGCTGTTGGTTTCTCGGTTCCCTGCCATGCCTAGGACAGGGTGAAAATTGAATTTATGGGCTATTTGCAATCTAATAGGAACCCAAAGATATAACAGAACTAGTAAAATGAAGCTTTTTCCACCAAGCCCCATTCCTAGAAGTTTTTTTAAAAAAACCAGTAAACTCAATTACAGCCTTCTATGAGGCTTCGTTTCTTCCATGCATTGATAGCTGAATGGGAAGCCAAATTTCACGCAACATGAAAGACTTAAATAGCTTAAAAAAAAAAAAACAATGCCATTGGCCTGAAAGATAGAGATGGACAGAAAGTCCTTATTGAAGGCAGGAATTTAAAAACCCCTGGGAATAAATAGCAATAGCATTTAGATCTATGTACCGCTTCATAGTGCTTTATAGTGCTGCATTAACAGAGGGATAGAATCAAGATCACGTGAAGTATTAATACCACTTTACAATGCCTTAGTAAGGCCACACTTGGAATACTGCATCCAGTTTTGGTCACCACAATGTAAAAAAGATGTTGAGACTCTAGAAAGAGGACAGAGAAGAGCAACAAAGATGATCAGGGGACTGGAGGCCAAAGCATATAAGGAAAGGCTGCTGGAATTGGGTATGTCTAGTTTAATGAAGAGAAGGACAAGGGGGGATATGATAGCAGTATTCCAATATCTCAGAGGCTGCCACAAAGAAGAGGGAGTCAAGCTATTTTCCAAGGCACCTGAGGGCAGGACAAGAAGCAACGGATGGAAACTAATCAAGGAGAGAAGCAACCTAGAACTAAGGAGAAACTTCCTGACAGTTAGAACAATTAACCAGTGGAACAACCTGCCTCCAGAAGCGGTGAATGCTCCAATACTGGAAGTTTTTAAGAAGAGACTGGACAGCCATTTGTCTGAAATGGTATAGGGTTTCCTGCCTGAGCAGGGGGTTGGACTAGATGACCTCCAAGGTCCCTTCCAACTTTATTATTATTATTATAGCCCTCTCTAAGCGGTTTACAGAGTCAGCATATTGCCCCCAACAATCTGGGTCCTCATTTTACTCACCTCGTAAGGATGGTAGGCTGAGTCAACCTTGAGCCGGTCAGGACCGAACTGCTGACCGTTGGCAGAATTAGCATGCCATACTTCATTCTAATTAAATGTACTATAATTAAATATACTATCAAGGGCTTTCTCTTTTCTTTCCCGAACAGGTGTACATCCAAGCATATAAATCATCCAATCTGAAGATGAAAATCATCAAAAATGACTTCTACACGCACCCCTTGTATTTAGAAGGCGCTCTGAGCAAAAGTACCCATTATCAACAATACCAGCCTGTGATCACTCTGCAGAAAGGCTACACCATCCATTGGGACAAGGCAGCTCCTGAGGAATTAGCTATCTGGCTCATCAATTTCAATAAGTGAGCATGCAAGCATGCAAAAAAAAAAAACCTTTCTGAACTTTTAATGCCCATCATTTAGGGCAGTGGCCTCCAACATTTCGGGATTTGTGGACCGTTGGGGAGAAGGGAACGTTCTGCGCAAGTGGAGGATGAGTGTGCGTGCATGCAGCTTCATTTGTGTAAGTGGCGCCACTCACACAAAGGGAGCTGCACGCACATACTCATCTGCCCACTGTGGGTGCGAGTAAAGCTGCACGTGGGCACACACTTGCCAGCTGTTTCCACGGTCTGGCAGGGGGCTGCAGCCCTGGGGGTTCAGGACCCCTGATCTAAGGAAACACAACACATTATCATTTTCTAACTCTGACATCGTAATTTCAAAAATTTCATTCTAAGTTTCACCATCATCTCAATATTCTAAGTTCTTGCAGAAGAGAGGCAAAGCAATCATAATTTAATGATCAATTAAATTAAAATCTTCTTCTTTACTCAGAGCCAAAGACCTACCACTGGAGAACTGTTCCATATGACTTTAATGGATCTTTAAATCATTTTGGAACTAGTTAAGCACCGGCATCTAAGCATTTAAGCCAGCATGGAAAGAATCACTTTTTTAAAAAGCTAAATATTTGACTTGGCTTGTGGCATGTTCCAGAAAAGTCATAGTCATGAGATTTGGGGTTGAGCTTTTTGTTTTTAGTAATGCTTATTTTCCTTTTCTTTATTTAGGAATGACTGGATCCAAGTTGGATTTTGTTATCCTAAAGGGACAACATTTTCCATTCTCTCAGATATTCACAATCGCCTTTTAAAGAAAACCTACAAAACTGGGGTGTTCTATCCAGCTTTTCAAATGGACAGACTTGAATATCGATATCCTACCAAAGGCTATTACTACTGGGATGAAGACACTGGGTAAGGAGTTAACAAGTATTCTCAAATTTTCCTGGGCTTGGGATAGAAAGAGATATTTCTGATTGCATTTGAGTGCATGACAATCTAAGCCATCCTTATGATTTCTTCTTTGTTCAAATCCTGCCCATTGGCATCCTTTTTTGATGGGAACATTCTCAACCAGAAAAACAATACCACATGTGGCCTTGCAGCTTTGTCACACAGCAGTCTTAACCACGTCATTCCACGGGACAATACATTTGTTGCATCTACCTTCATTGGTTTTTTAAAAATGTTCATGAGAACATGGAGAGAGAGAGCTGTTTTTCACACTTTCCCAGAGTCTAAAAGAGAACAGGAACTCGCACAAACAGGAAGAGCGTTTGGTTTAAAATCTTAGAGGCCTCTCCCTTGCAGTCCCACCTGGCCCAAAGGAAAGAATCCATCCTAATCCTTATGGATACCGGCTTCAGGTAGAAGGAAAAAAGGTGTGCATCTCCACTGGACAGTCCCTGTGGAGTTACATCTTGGCCACTGGCAGGAAGAGTTGTGCCCTATTTCGATTATTATGACTATATCACGGCCTTAATCATGGCTCTACAACTCTCACCTTCTTCATTTTTTTTCTTCTTTTAATAGGTTGTTATTTCTCAAGCTGAAAGCTCAGCATGAGAAGGAGCCATTTGCTTTCTGTTCCACCCGAGGCTGTGAACGCATCAGGATCAAAGCCAATATCCCTAAGCAAACTGGTACCAGTGACTGTGAAGTTTTAGCTTATCCAAAATATGCTGAGAAGCCAACAGTGGACGTGCCAATGCCCAAAAAACTGCCCAGTGCACACATGGTACACACTGATTTACTGATTTACTTGTGTGTAATTTCCTTAGGGGAATCTCTCTCCTGGATTTTCAAGGCTTTGTTTTGACTCTAGGGCAGGGGTCTTCAAGCTTGGCCCTTTTATGACTTGTGGACTTCAACTCCCAGAATTCCTCAGCTAGCGTGCCACGCTGGCTGAGGAATTCTGGGAGTTGAAGTCCACAAGTCATAAAAGGGCCAAGTTTGAAGACCCCTGCTCTAGTGAAAGCTTCAGAATATGTTAAGCCTGGAGGCTTGGGTTTGAGTCTCTCTTAGTGTTGTTGGCTTCAGTAGAGAAACTTTCTTCATATGTTGGCAGAGAAGAGGTTTACTGACAGGGGATCCTATCTGACATATTCTGTATTTACTCAATATCCTTTAGCCATGGTTAATTTAATACTTGTTTGCTCAATTAATAAAACGTTCCAGTCCGCCCAAGCCACTGACTCAGGAACTAACCATGCAGGCTGAAACCATATAACCAGTTTGTGGTTCAGCATAACATGTGAATACAGTTATAGAACCAAACTCCAGTCTTGGATCATCTAAGTCAAGAGGATTTTCTCTTGTTTAGCTTTAGTTTTGTAGTGTTAATAATATTTTTCAGTCTATTTTATCATCTTCCACCTGGGTCAAAGTTTCTAATTTTATACCACGGAAGGAAAGCAAATTGGAATCTTGCCTGTGAGGCCTTCAGAATAAGGCCATACATTGTGCAGATCTGATTCCAATATTCCAAGTTTGTTTAGAAAATCCTTGAAGATCAGATGTAAACGCCATTTTCTTTCATTTTAAAATCAAATAGAACAAGAAGGATCGTTTTGTAGAACTGAAGATAGACAGCTACAAAACCAAATATTATCATCTCAAGGATGACTTTGCCTACATCTCAGTAAGTGATTGCTCCCCATTTTTTTTTTAAAAAAAACACTTATTAACTTGCCAGTTTATTTTTATATAAGGATGTTCGTCTTGGGTTCAATTTAGAATTCTGTACGCAGTCCACATAAACCCAAAATGAAGCATCAAAAAAAAACATTCAGAACAAGCAGCCATTTGTTTCCAAACCTCCATTCTTGGAGGATATTAAGGATCGCTTTTTCCTTTTCTGTAGGTTGATGGCAAGTCATTCTATCTTTCTGAAGAAGGCATTCAAGTAGTAGTGATTGACGGTCACGAAGGAAAAGTTGTTGACCGGAAGAGTTTCAAAAATATTATTCTGCAAGGAATCCCAGCTCAGATCATCAATTATGTCAACAACATTCGAAACAAGTAAGTTAACTGGAAACAAAGGCTTTCAAAGATTCAGAAAGAAGTCATACTTGTAAAGTCATCTATTGCAGTACGCGACCTGCATCTCGCACCAGAATTATTCATCCGTATAATCAACAATCAAAAGAACGTCCGCAATAAATTGATCAGATTAAATAGGCTTACTGAGCAAATTTTGGGTGATTGGAGAAAGGAAGACTCTGTTAAATTCTGTGGATTTTTATGATGGTGACTGTAGGACAGCTGTTCAGTTAATCAGTTTTGGTGAATAACTCAATTCAATCAAATGATGCATGTCATTTTTCTGCCTTCTTCTAGCTCTATAGTGGTGATGACCTCAAAAGGACGGTTTGTTTCAAAAAGTCCATGGACCAAAGTCCTGGAGACACTTGGAGCAAAACCAGGCTTTAAATTAAAAGGTAATGCTTTATTAATATCAGAAAATATAGTATGAAATTTGCTAGACTTCTATTATGGCTGACTTTGTGAAGAGCGCTTTTTCTAGCAAGTTTTGCTGTCCTGTGGCTGCTCTTTTCTTTTCGGATCATTTTTTTTTTTTTTACTGCCCTGTGTCTTTTCACACAGAAGGCTAGTAAAGAAAAAAGAGACGGTAAAACCATTAAGAATTGTCCATCTGTTTTTTTTTTTACATCTGAAAATACTCCAAATATTTCATTTTGGCGAACTGTTGAAATGCTTAATGCAAGTGAAGCTTTGGAGAGGAGATTGCCTTTCAGTAACACAAGAGTTTTTAATCGTTCCCTTTTCTAACCAAAAATTCAGTAATTTCTTTTAGTATGGTGAATATGGAAAGCCAGTTTGGTGCAGTGGTGAAAGTAGAAGGCTAGTAACCAGTCTGTGAAGTCTAGTCCCACCTTTAGCACGAAGCTAGCTGGATGACCTTGGGCCAGTCAGTCTCTCTCAGCCCAAGCATGGAGACAATGGCAAACCACTTCTGAAATTTTGGCACAAATTTACCTTGGCAACTTACCAGGGACTTATCCAGGCAGCCACCAGGAATCAAGACAGACTCGAAGGTAGTCCCACCCCACCAAAGGATAAATATTAGTTATAAAATTCATCTGTACCTCAAATACAATCAGTCTAGAAATCCTAGGTTCTCAAGCAGCAAAGATTGTATAGTTTCTGCACCAGAAAAGTAAACTTGGGTGGAAGAGCCCTTAGAAATATTACATTTTTACTGAATGTAAAGTGCCTTTGAGAGAGATTTCAAGTATTCCACACCTCAGCTCCATCTTTCCCAATGTGGTAAACTGAGAGAGAAAAGATTTTTAAGAACACCAGGTTCTTCCTGCTCAGAACATTCCTAGAAATTCTGTTATCACCAAATGCAGAATGGCAACATGTTCACTTCCTGGTTTGCTACTATTCATCCCACTCATTTTTTTAAAAAAAAAATAATTCTAATATTATTTAAACTGGGGAAAAAGGGCTGTTCATAGTATAATAGAAGTGTGGAGATGGAAAGGATCGACCATCTTCAATATGCAAAAAAAATAATAATAATCAGTCCATTCTTCTTCTATTTGATGCTTTTGGTTATGATCTCCAAAAGGTTCTCGATAGATCAAAGGAAGACAAAGCCACATGCATCTTCTCAGGAAAAGATGCTGCTGGCTTAAGATGTGGCATTGATGGAAACGGCCTCCGATGACGCTGAAAAACACTCTCTGCGGCGTATTGATTATAAATATTGTCCCAGATCAGTTTTGCTCACTGCACTCTCTTATTTATTTATTTATTTAAAGATAAAATGGCTTTTGTTGGCTACAAGGGCAGCTTCCAGCCTTTCTGGATCAAGCTGGAGACCAACGAGGAGGCCGTGAGAATCTTTCAAGCGCTGCCCGTTCCCGTGGTCAAGAAAATGAAACTCTGAGGAAGTATCTCTCTTTGAAAACACCCTCCAGAGAAAAAAAAAGGATGAGAGGAATGATGGCTTTTCTAAGATGTAATATATTTTGTTGCTGTACATAAGAGAGAAGTTACTGTAAATAAGCCTTCACCTTGAACAACCAACATTCCTTGATCAAACGAGTCCACTTGGTTTGATCTGTTTGATTACTAACAGATTCCCTGTCCTGCCAGCAGCTTCAGGGCAACAGTTTTTTGTTGTTGTTGTTGTTTTTAAATGGTCTCATCTTGTCTCATCTCAATTCTGTGAAGCACCATGGCCACCTCTTGGTTGATTCGTAGATCACTGTGGTCCTGAATTCATTGGACGTGCAGAAGGTGCTTCTTCTTCTTCTTCTCCAATTCAACCTTTCACTCGTCTTGAATGTTCAAATACAGACTCAGGAAATGAATTCCACTTTTACGTGGTACTGCTGGCTATGTAAATAAGGAAGTGTAAGCTAAAGTCAATATGCACAGCTAGCAAGAACCGCCAAATGTCAAGAGCTGGTCAGTATTGCTAGACTGGTCAATGGGCACTGCGCAGGGTGAACAAGAGGGGGGAATTTTATAGACACCGTTTCTTGTCTCACTCGAATGCTAGAATAGCGTTAAGCTTTCCAGTTGCATTAAAGCTATTGCTGAGATGGTGGGAATCTCACACAAGACCATGGAGATCCCGTCATAGGAAGTCATCGTTCACGAAACAATTTGAACGTACAGGATATATTTGGCTAAAGAGGAATATCTACCTTTTTCCTAGCCTGAAAGATGTTACTTCTTCCCTCGTACGCATATTTAATAATAATTGAAACTATATTAAGCTATAGGCAAACGGGGCTATGTATACGTTCCCTGCCCACATTCCTGGATCAGCAAATAAAAATCTCAAAAGCCCTTGAGCGGGGGAATATTGTACAATGATGATAGTAATTAAGGGCAGTTTCAACCAAGACTCTCCAGCTGGTGCCCTTCTCTACAGGTAGTCCTCAACTTAAGACTACAATTGAGTCCAACATTTCTGTTGCTAACTGAGACATCTGTTAAGTGAATTTTGCCCCCTTTTACGACCTTTCCTGCCGCAATTGTTAAGTGAATCACTGCAATTGTTAGGGGAATCTGACTTTGCTTGTCAGGTCACAAAAGGCGATCACACGACCCCAAGCCGTCTTAAGTGTGAATCAGTTGCCAAGCATCCACATTTTGATCACGTGACCCTGGGGATACTGCAACGATCTTAAATGTGAAAAACGGTCATAAGTCACTTTTTTCAGTGTTGTGACTTCTAACAGTCACTAAAGGAATGGCTGTAAGTCCAGAGTGACCCTTTTAAGCAGTGGTTCTCAACCTTTTTAATGCCGCGACCCCCAACCGGTCGTAAGTCGAGGACTAAACCAGTCGTACGTCGAGGACTAAACCGGTCGTAAGTCGAGGACTACCCAACCGGTCGTAAGTCGAGGACTTTCCCTGCCCGGGAGCGCCACACATGCGTGGTTCCGCCCCCTGCGCCGGCCGAGGCGTAGCTGGCAAGCGGCAGAGACGGAGCAGGCCGACCACCAGCTGGCCCAGCCCAAGGGAGGTAAGGCACCCGCCGGAAAAGGGGAAAAAAATGGCGGACAGCCTTGCTTGGCGACCCCCGTGAAATGGTCAATCGACCCCAAATGGGGTCGTCACCCATAGGTTGAGAACCGCTGCTTTTAAGGTTTCCGACACCCAACTGACCATTTACGTTCTTTGAACCATGACTTTTCTGAAGTTATTATCCACAGCAAGTTGTTTCAACAAGCTACATATAACAGTCCGCTTTACACGATCTTTTGTTTTTGTCCGTATGTCAGTTCAAATCTTTTACCCGAAATAGCTGGTTCTTTTTCGGAACAAGATGTACAGCGTTTTGTATATTTTCTAAAGAAAAATAATAATAATAATCTTGACGGGGGAATGATATATTTATTTATTGCAAAGGCACAAAAAGGGTTATAAAGGGGGGTGGTTTTGCCAAAAAATAAAAAATGTAGGGAGTGCTCTCTTTGCAGTTGAATTTTTTTAATGGCCGCAGGTGTGACACACGGTCTCTTTGACAGAAATCCTTTTTTTTTTTAAATTCAATACACCTCTCGTTTCCAAATGTTTTCACTTGCAACTTAACATTTTGTGGTTTGGAACACCCAATTTATTGAAATAAAAATTTCAGCACAATTTGACAATTGGTGACTTTATTATGCTAAACTACCAAGATACCTTTCATCCCATTCTCTACTCTTAAGAGTAAAAAAAATGATTTACTTTTTGTGCTTGGTCTACGTACATGAAGCATCCCTTTAAAAACTTCAAAAAAAACCAAAAACATGCCAGAGCAAAAGTATCAAGAGCATTTCTCACCGTTTGAATGAAGGACAAGTTTAAAAAGCCACCCAGAGTCACCATATAGGGGAGATGAGCGGCATAAAAATGTAATAAAATAAATAAAATAATTAAAAGCTGCATTCTGGGAGCTCCTTCCAAGCAGTTGGTGAAAATGAGGAATACAACCACAGTCGTCACTCTGTTCTGTGTAAACTGGCATTCTATTCACTGTTTACTTAGATGTGACTCACTTCTACATCCCAATTCCCAAACAGTTAAGATTCCAAGTTTGGTATTTTAAGCAATCTACATAAGCAAAAGAAACCCCGATCTTCCTGGTCTGTGGTCCTAATTGAAAAAAAATTACTTTGGAAAACAAAACGGCTAGAAGATTGCTGAGAAGCAGCTTCTATTTCCTAACAATGAGACGTTCCATAAATCCTAGCTGTGGCTCTGGGTTTGCACAACAGGCATTGCTAGAATATGGTACTATCCTGGTTTGTACGTCAGCCTCTTATGCAAGCCTAAACAACTGGGTTAACTGAGAGAACTTGATTTAGTCAACCACAGGCTGATGAACTGGGCCAACCCAAGCTAATACAGCAATCTTCCATCTATCTTATGCTTGTTCTCTAGTGGAGTTCTTCTTCAATGGAAACTGGTAAACAAGATTTCCAAGCTGTCTCAAAGGAGGTGTTTTTTTTTTCTTCAAAAGGCAACTGTTTTTTCCTTGAGGAGGGAGAAAACATTTCACTTCTTATCCAAGAAGCTTCATCAGTTCTGATGGCGTGGGGGATGAAGAATGAAATGAATATGCATAAAACAGATTATTAATAGCTCTTAATAGTGAGCACATCTTTGACACTGGAAGCCTTTTTTTCTACAGAAAAAAAGACTGACGCTTTTATGTATTTCATAATATAGAAAGAAAAGTGTACAGGTAGTCGTAGCTTAACTGCCTCGGGCAGTGATCGTTCGTAGTTTGAACAGTGATGAAAAAGTAACTTTACAACCGATCCTCCCATTTAAAAATCTTATAAAGCAAGGGAAAGCTGAAGTAAGATCATAAGCAGTCACTAGTGACCACTTCACTTAACAAGCAAGTTGCCAGTCCCAATTATGATCACTAAACAAATCTACATTTCCAATCTTGTCCCCTTCAAATACGTTGGGTGCCTCTCTATGTCTCTCACAAACCCAATGTAGATTTAAAAAACTGCAAGGCAGCTGAAGGCATCGTTAAATGTTTGCACATCTAAATGTCCATGGAGTCTCAATCACCCAGGTCAATGGTGGTGAACCTATGGCACGGGTGCCAGAGGTGGCACTCGGAGCCCTCTCTGTGGGCACACGTGCCGTTGTCCAAACCTCGCCTCCCCCCACGACCCCCTCCTCTCCAGCAACCCCCTGAAGGAGAGTCGCCCCCAAGCGTGGCCCACGCGGAGCAGCGCAGCCAAGCACATGGCAGACAGGCAGCGTAGACAAGACTCTGCCCTCACACCCCATCGTGCACAGTTGATGCTACGGAGCGCGGGCAGAGGGCGTGACCACCATAGCGCTGCTGGGCTGCCTGGGCGATCTGCGGTGGGCCCTGGAGGCAGTGAGTGGCCCTGCGGGCAGGCAGGGTGGGAGATGGGGGGGCAGAGTGGGGGTGGGGCAGGGGGTGGAGCAGGGGCAGGGCCAGTTTTTGGGCACTCGGTCTCTAAAAGGTTCGCCATCACTGACCCAGGTTATCACAAAGGTGCTTTTTTCAAAAAGCAACTGGACTTGCTTTTCCCCCCCCCCCTTTGAAAAAGTTTCGCTTCTCATCCAAAAAGCTTCTTCAATTAGATTTTTTTTTTTGAAGAAAAAAAAAAACAAGACAGCCCAGTTGCTTTTTGGAAAAAGCACCTTTGGGACGTTTGCACCTCTGTTTCAAAAGTCAGCACACTGCCCCTTCAAAGCTCTTTGTATAATTGTTAATAGGTTGACGCTGCTTTTTCTGCTACTTGACAGATGGTTCTGCCATTCTGCCATTTTTCCCTCTCTCCGTTACACTGGTTGACAAAAGTCTTGTACCGGAACTCAGGGTTTGGAATCCCATTTCACAAATAACTCCAAAATAGCCAACAATAAATTTATCCTTCACGCAGATAAGCCATCAGGCATAATTTCTAATCTTGCCTATGGCTTTTCATTCGCGGTCTTAAAAAAAAATACAAAGCAAAGTATTTTGCCTTTCTTTAAGCAATACCATTTCATCCACAGGAGAAATCTTATAATTTGCTGGAGCAAAAATACACCTATTTGTTCTTGTTCTTGCGAACTGAATGCCAGAAAAACTCTTTCAAAATAAAATCAAGAGGAGGGGGGGAAAATAGAGGGAAGGAGCAGATAAATTTAACATCAAGGAAAGAAACAGTAAATTATCATTCCAATCGCCATCCGAAGTTCAAAGCAGCAAAGCTTTTATAGAACAACCTTTGTGTGTGTAAAATGTCAATTTGTTAAAACAGGCTTAGCTTCTGGAAGAGTTACACATTGCATTAGCCAGACTTCAAAACAAGCATATTTCCTTTGTTATTTGGCATACAGACAGCACCACCATGTGGATAGTCTGGGCTGACATCAGATACCAGAGTAAGAGAAGGAAGGATGGAT